ATTACACAAATAAATACGGTGTATGTACGTGTTGTGAGCTTATCTACATAGATATATGCATACACTTGCACACACACACACACACACGCAGACACCCACGCATGAATACACAGGTATGTACATGCTGCGACTGATGAAATATTTTCATAAAGACAGATAATGATAATAAAAATAATTGAAAATTTCTGTGAAACTATTAATAATAAACAAGTTATTTTCTATGTGCTAAAAAACCCTAAATTGTACTAATGACACCATCTTTAAAAAGAAAAGAAAATAGCAACATTAATGATTATTGTTACTATGACTACCGCTACTGCATTCTTGCATAAGTCTAATTAATCATTTTTAAAACAAAATATCTTTTACGAACAAAATTAATCAGTTTGTAAGTGTTTTTATTTCGTCATGAGTTGAAAACCAGAAGGCAGTGTGGATAGTAGTTCTATCTTAGCAGAGAGTAATCTTTAGTGATATACATATATGGTCTCATTATTGATTGAAGCTTTCAGGATTTTCAGGTTACCAGACGACTGTGGTCAATATTGAATCATAATTCTTGTCTGTGTGTAACATAATGACACCTCCATTCAGTAAAGTTGATGAGTAATGGTCATTTTGGGTGAAATTATGGGCATGAAAAGTTACCACTTCACTTTAGGAGGTCCATTCTGCAGTCGTGGGAATTGTATTGATTTAAAAGTACTATAATCAGAACTAATAACTTTCAGTGCCAGTTAGACTCAGTGTGAGAAGAGATACTCATCGATGACGTTGAATGGTGGCGGCACTATGTTGTAAATAAAGAACAGTCAGAGTTTACTGGTCACTGTAATCCAAATCAATGCGTCTGTAGTTCACTGGTAGATTGCCCACCAACTACTCATGTGATGCAGGTTAAGTACCCCTCCGACGCACTTCTAAACTTTTTCTAGCCCAATAAAGAGGAAGGGTTGTGCGTAACTCTAGTGACCTCATCATACAAAAACACTACCACCAATACTGAAACTTCAAAGCTCAAGATTGAAGCTGTATGTTCCACTCAGAATGAAAGGAATGAATTTTTAATACAAACCAGTCACTGACTAGTAGGTGTGCTTGGATGGATATCGAATGGCCGGAAAGAATTAGCAACAAGAAACTCTGGGAACGAACCAACCGAAAACGGATTCCACAACAAGTATGCCAAAGAAAATGGAGATGGTTCGAATAAACACTGAGAACATCGTTGGCTAACATCTCACTTCAGCCCATTACTCGTGTGGGATCCTCGTTGGGCGTCCAACGGTGACATTGGGAAGATCGTGTGCGAAGGTGATGAGAAACTATGGGCAGTCGTGGAGCCAGTTGAAGAGGGTCACAGATAATAGAACAAAGTGTGAACGTGCCGTTGAAGCCTTATTTTCTACTTGGAACCTAAGGGAACAACAATAACAGATGTGTTTGGATGGTAACTTTAGAGTCTGAGTTTCAAAGAGTGATAATGTCATGGTTACATATTGCTGAAGAGTACCAGATTAGGACAAAGATACTGAACCCATGTTTTGAATCGTTCTCTTATTGATATCAGTTCGTAGCGAAATATCGGGCCTTGATACTCAGATATTATCAACGTGATTTGAGCTAAAAGTTCAAGTTATCCTTGTGAAACACTGGTTTTCATAATAGCATAGGCTGCAAAATGCCTTTTTCGAAAAATACAGTTACCAGTTGACTAATCCTCATTGTCCACTGTTTACAAGTTAACATATACTACGCGTGTTAAAAACGCACAGGAAATACACATGAGAATAAAGTCAGATATTGATGGGAGGGATTAAATGGGTTGTGTTGCAATCACCTGTTCACATGTGTATATGGGTCTATTTACCTTTATCCACCTACAATAATTAGACACTATTAAGTGATCGAACAGCTTGATGTTGTAACCTGGAGGTCCCGGATTCGATTCCTGGTGAGGTCGTCGAAATGCGCTGCTAAACAGTCCCAAACTAGAAGGGAGCAGTTTTTCGTTGCTCCCTAATTTAAGTGGTATTTAACTGAAATTAATCTAAATCTCTACAACATAAGATCCGTAATCTATGTATCAAAAGCACTTAGAAATATGGATCTGCCTATCATCCTAGAAAGAAACCTAGATAGATAGCAATGAAGTATGAGCAGTAATTACTCCGTATCAGTCTGATTTACTACTTATTATCCTATTATTATCACTGTTAAAAATGTCACTATTTTTGTTTTAAACTTAGTGGGCATGTTTTTATATCTGAATAAGGCATTTTGAAGACAAATTTCGCCAGATGATATCTTCATTTCGTAGTTTCTTTACAACCGCTTCCCAACTAACATGGTTGACAATAATCAAATAAAGATCATGACAGTTACTCAGTTGTATAAAAAACAAAAGTACATACTAATGACCAATCATATTTAAATAGGTCAAGTAGTCCATGGTAGGCGAAGGTTGAAGTCTATTGATTTTTGTACACACAGTTTAGGCTGTATGTGATTAATCCCCAAAGTGCTTCCATCACCTTCAATAACCTTGAATTAGAGTTATGTGAAATAATTGTGAAACAGTCATTAATATTGATTTTGTGACCTGGTATTAATAAGTGTTTTCCAATGGATGATGCTGGATTTCTATTCAGATTAATCACATTGGGATTTTCTATATGATTTGGTAACCATTTTGTAACATGTTGTTTTCAACGACATTGGAACATTCTATTTGTTCTACCTATATAGGTGTCACCGCAGCTGCGCAAGAACTTGTAGATACGATATGAAGTAGAGTCCCCAGAATTTCATCATTTAATCGTAGGTACAGTGATCTAGCAATTGACATGAACCTTATTTGATTATTGTTAACCATGTTAGTTGTAAAGCGGTTGTGAAGAAACTATGAAATGAAGATATAATCTCACGAAATTTGTCTTCTAAATGCCTTATTCAAATTTATCCAAGGGACTAACTGTTTTAATGTTTTTATTTGTTTAAATAATTAATCGTCTTATGAGTACTATCTATTTTACACCTCAGTTTATTTTTGATTAGATTGGTTCTCAAATGAAGTCATTTTTCCAACTATAAGTGATAATTTTAGCGGAAAATAAATCTGCAATATGATCTACCCTCATAGTCGTGCGTGTAGACACTCATGTGGTGCACTGCATGCGTGTCTATGAGTATGTGTGAACTCTATTATGTGAACTGAAACGAACAGACATTTGGTGAAATGTACTTCGGAGTGACTCATCAATCTCCGAAAACAACCGCTTCAAAGCATATCCCTGAATAGCTTCGATTCCCTGAATGCATTCATGGGAAAAACAGATGCCGTAGTTCTTCTATCGCAGAACATATTATAGATACTTGGCAAAAAGTAGTTCTTTACACATCTTTTTTGAGGTACATCCTACTGTTGTGGAAGCCATAGCGATCAGGATGTTGAAACCACCTATATGTGTTCAAAAGCAATCTGTCATCACATTACACCCTCATCGGTAAACTTTATGTTGACATAAGGATAAATATATCATTATCCCTTCGATTTGGCCAGTTAACTTGGTCTATGTCTACTCTGTCATTCTTCAAAACCTGATTTTATTTCATTAAAATTCTTATGACAAGCACATGTATGATCAAACTGTTCAGAATGAGTGTTGCGTAAATATAGTGTTACACAATTCAGATAAATTACGTCTTCCTTATTGTTTTGTCAAAAATCACTCAAAGGGAACTAAGTGTTTCATTAACTTGTTGTATTTCCCATCAGTACGCTTTTTATTTTCTAATTAGGCAGTAATCAAGATATTGATAATGAGTGTACTTAAACTATTTTTATTTTACCTTTAGCGGAAATACTTTTGAGTTTTTAAATCACCAGTCGGCATTATGAGTACTCTTCATTCTACATACAATTCAATTTATTTTTATTTTTGTCTATTGACTAAGCTTATAGACTGAAGTCATTCTTGGCTAAAGTTAAAATCTTTACGAAAAATAATTCTAAAATATGATCTGAAATCATAGTCGTGCGTGTTTATGAGTATGTTTGAACTCTGTTTTTTGAACTGAGATGGATAAGCGTTTGACCCGGTGATGCGTGATCAAAATCACTCAGTTTCAAATTAAACTTTATGGTGAAAAGAGAATCAATGATAAATTATAACAGGTGGCTTGATAACAAATAATTATCGTTATTATTTGTATCTCGTGTTCTGTGTGGAATATAAACCTTAAGTAGTACACTAGCATTGCAATCAGTTTTCTGGTATCATTTTCATCTAGTTATATGACTCTCCACAAGTTTTAATTTCCTCTTGATATAGTCACCTTCATCTCACTCGAGACCCATACCTCGATTCTATCGCTTCTTATTCCTGCTTCACTGAAAAGCTTGTCTGACATGGGATTTCCCTCAGTGATTTTGCAAATTCATCCACTTCACCTCTATATTTGTTAGGTACTGTTAGAATTCCGCGTTGTCATCCTTTCCCGCCGATCATCTAATCTTGACTATAGAAGGAAGTTTGGAGTTGTGTGGTTTTCATGCATTGAAGTGAAATTAATGCTAAAAATTTGGGTAATTCACTACAGTTAATATTAACTCAGGTAGGGAAAGTCCATCACAAAGAGAGAAGAAGCAACAGGAATGGGTAGTATTTGAAGCGATATGGAACAGAATTCAGTATACCAAAGTCGAATAACAGAAATAAGGAGTGTTACGGAATAAACTGTTATGATTACAGGCACAAGTAAGGCTTTCCAATGAAAATAATTTCTCATCACACATTATGACGTCTACAGTAGTCGAATTCAACTGTCTGGAAGAGTCTCACTCAAAAAATTTAGACTTTCCCATTTGATTAATGCTAAAATTCAGTGACCATAAGGCAAATAAAGAAATTTCAGAATTCTCAATTTTGGATTTTAAATGAACTCAATTCCATTAAGCAGTAAACTGATGAGGCTAGAAAAACATAAATGTCACTTACTTCCGGGCATAAGACGAGGTTTAGCTCCAAGCACGGCCAAGTTCACATTCGCTTTCCGACCATCAATACATGGATTTGGATCACGAATCGCTAGCAGGGCATCTTCTGTACGAGTCATAGTTACCTGTGAATACAAAATGAAAACAAAATGCCATTATAACATTAGTGCCTGAATACTACTGAAATAAATAAGTAGCTAGGTAACCTGAATACAAGTCAGATGGTTTAGTTTAGGAAGATTAAAGTGGTATGAATTATGGATAGCACTTATGCAATGGGTTTAGGAAATCCAAGCGCCTTTATGCAATAATTCTCATTAGGCTTAGTGATTTCATCAGCCCTATCTTCGCTCCCAATTTATCGCGTGATTCACTTCACCAAAAACGGTACTCATAAAACTGTCCAAAGATTATAAATGATAAATCTGAGAGAGAGAGACTGTTGCACAAATAACATGATTAAACTCCCAGTAACTAGTCTTAATCGAGTAGACGACGCTTTTTAGGCGTTTACCGCTCATTTCTGACAATATAAAAAGAAATTTAATTAACAAGACGACAAGAAGGCAACGCCCGATTAGTATAATTCTAACCAGTTCTAAAAACCAAGGTAAAAAGCTAACAACATTTTGTGATCAACACAATAAAATGTTTTCTATTGTCAGTCGGTTCGTATGGTTATTGATTTTGTCGTCATTGTTCAAAGCGACATGCAGACACATACACAATACGCAAATCAATAAACAAACAGTTGAATCAAGCATAACAACAATAAGTGTTGTTGCTCTAATGTTCCAGCAGCATATTCAGAATGAGTTATGAAGAAATGCGTTTCTTTCTCCTGACATCGATCGACGTTTAAGCACAGAAGGAGGCGTTGATGGCACAGTCGAGTTAAGTATAATACAACGCAAAAAAGAAACACAAAACCAAACTTCAGTAGACAATACAGGTGACGTGACGAAAAGCACTACACAAAAATAAAATCGCCTCATCTCATAGTGCATTTATATGTGTACTGAGATGTGTGTGTGCGTGTTTTGTGTGTTCCATCTTCTGCCTTCTAAGACTGAATTCTCTCTGCTTCATGTCATATGGTTTGTTTACTTCATTTTCATGTGGTTTATTTCGTCAATAAATACAAAATGTTGTCTAACGATTTATTTTCTGGGAGTATAAATATGAAAACGTCTGCTTAAGGGCTTTCGTTATTCACTGAAAAACGGCTGAAAAACAGGGGTTACTGGTTACTCGTTTCGCCCTAACCTAGGGCTCTTCAATGGAGGGGTTACCAATACCCTGGACAAACGCTGAACCAAAAAGATTCAGATTAGAAGCCCACCACATTTAGTAATTATATGTACATTCATATATACATTTCTTTGCGTTCTGAGTGGAACATAGGCCTTCATGCTTCAGCTTTTGGAAGTTTCAGTAGCGGTGATTTTTGTTTTACAAAGTACGGTGTGGAAGCCTCACACTCACCCCCCCTCTTCACCAAGCTCACTACTAGTTAGGTAAGGTTTAGTAGTGCATCGGTTGCGAATCAAACCCAAACCTACAGAGCTGGTTGGTGAGCATCCTGCCATTGAACCACTAACACAAACGTCATATCACCCAAGAAGATGATCAGTTTCCTGTTTAATTGAATGGAGGACTTCATCATGAGCTGACATCAGTTAGAGAACCACTGGGAAACCAACTGGGAGTACTGGACAGCTGTTTCGTTTTGGTTTGGAACTCTTCATCAGTAGGCACACACCGCCAGGGTTCGAAACCAGGACCTTCTGGTTACAAGGCGAGCTCGTAGACCGTCAAGCCACTGGGACCCGATCCAATGGCGCGTGAATTCTAACTTCTGCCGGTTCACGACATAGAGCAACCACTTCGCAATGTCTTCTTCGATGAGTAACTATCCTCACCTTCAACCTGCTATACGCTGTACCTGTTTAATTAACAGGCACTAGTAAGAAGTAATAGAAACTCCTGGATTACCCACGCTCTCTGACTAGATATCATCTACCTAACACAGTGAGCATATTGAGATTATTTTGAGTTTGAGAGCGAATACTGTCTCTCAGTGGAATACACATAAATTTGTCGCCAAAATAGGACGACAATCGGTCTACTGGATTCCACTGGTTCAGCAGCATCGATCAGATAATACTGCGTACATATTTTTTATTTTTAAAAACTGGCCGTCACACGTTTATTATTCCCAAAATACACAAAATTATCGATCGTGTGTACAAAACAAAAAAAGCCTGTGAATTGGTAAATAACACAATCTCCTAACATTAGGACATAAGTAATTCACATTACATCATGAAGATTAATAGGAATAATGATGAATTCATTGTCAAGCAAACTCTCACAAAAATGATAAGGTCATACCCTTTATGTTTTTGTCTTATTTTTGAACCTAATAGTTTTGAAAGAAAGTCAATTTTTGAACGACTACTGGCTAGTCAGTGAAACACACAGGTCTACTAGGCTACTTTAAGAAATATGCAAACGCTTGACCTATATTTTTATGTGTTGTCTTAATTACCTTGTGACGTTTGACGCAAAAATCAATAACTGTAAATGTCTACGGCAGAAGACCAGAAAATGCCTCGACAAAATGTAGGAAATCATTTATAAAGGTAAAAAGGTTGGGAAAATAAGAAGTTATAAGAGAAAGTAGTGTACAAAATGGAGCCAAGGAAGGTTTACGTAGAATGTAAAGTTTGTTTGCTCGTCAGTAATTACCTAACCAATAGCAACAAGCATTAATCACAACCAAGTAGAGAAATACAAAGGAAGTTAACTCTTTCAGTTAGCTGACCTAAGCAACATCGTTTCAACTACAGACATTTGCACGGATGAGGATGTCAGAGTTGGAAAAGTGCGAAAGATCTTCATTAATCTGAAATCCCGGGAGGGGGGGGGAGAATCTACTGCACTCAGCAAAAGAAAAAGATTCAAGTTTTCAATACTACTAGCAGGTCACTACTTCTTTGTTGTTCAGAGATTTGGTGAGCTCGTCAAGAAAAGCATTATCAACAGGCTGAAGGCTTCATAGACGACTATCTTTTGTCGATACTGAAGATCACATCGCTGGCCGTAATTGATAGGCGAGAAGAAAGTCTGACAAAGAACCAGTTAAGAACTTATAGCCTAACAAATATACCGGAGGAAATCGAGATGAGCCGGATATACGCCGACAAGTCATTCAGGCGACATTACATACCAGGCCCTCAAGCGGAACCTGAATGAGAGAAGGCAAGATGGAAATTTGAGTGATAATGAGGAAATCGTATGAAGGAAAAAAAACTAAAAGATACTTCCGAGAACAGATTGAAATGTTAATATGTGTACTGAAATCCTGTATTCCATTTTGAACCAAAGGGAATAATAACACTAAGCTAATGATATTATAGAGATGCCTGTTTATTCATTACCGTTTGCCAATCAGTATTTCCTAAACAGTCCATAGGTCTATTGCCAACTATCCAACTGTTTGTGAAGACTGGTAATACGTAGAATCAAAAGTTCATTATTACGAGATAAGATAGTTATTCAACGTCCAGTATCGCTGTAAATCTCATCCTCATTTCATTCTAACACTAGAATGTATTGATTTTATATCAGTTTAGAACTTATTCGGGCTATAGTTTTGTTCCAAACACCAAAGTCTCAGGGGTTTTTAAATACCATCTTTAGCCGGTAGTAATGAAAGAATATAGTTCACTGGATTAAAGTACTTGGTCCCCCAAGTTTGCCCATGGATTGATATCAGTTAGAGAACTGATTATAGTGACTGGCTACAAGACGAAGCTGTTTGAAATTCTGGTGAGAAGTTGTGCCCAGTGGAGTGGGGACAAATACTCTCTGATGACATTGGCTGACGGTCATACTAAAATCACAAATCCGTAGAAGTCAGAATTCATGGGATATCGAGTTGGGCCACAGTGGCTGAATGGTCTACGAGCTGAATGACTGTATACTTGGAACTGATCGCCTTCCATGTCAAAGGGTCCTGAACTCCAGTGCCAGTGGAAATATCATGAATTACTGGGATCCAGGCACATCCAGATGACAAGTCCCAAGCAGGAAGTAATGTGTGTCTCCATCGCTATCCACCAGTAATCAAACACTATCATTCCTAAGGCTGTTTTATATATTTATGAATTCTTATGATCTTTATTCTCACAAACCTAAGATAAATTACTTCAGTAATGCAGTAGAATTAAACGCTAAACAGACGAATGTGAGCATATGTTTGCTCGCCATATTGACAACCATACGCTTACAGATTTTAAGCCCAGTTTATTTCACTATAATACTCTACAAACAGATATGACTGTACCGTCAGTAATATAAGGCTAAATCGCATGCTGTTACTGCATAGAGATCAAACATTCTGTATTTTGCATAGAGAGCGAGAGAGAGAGAGGGATTAATCGATGAAGATAATCCAGGATTCGTTAAACCCATAAGTGTACTACACGTTAAATCATACACACGTGTTCCGAAAACCAGATAGCATATCATATCAGTTGAGAATAAAAGTGAACTAACATAGGGCATGTCTTGATCACATGATCTGATTGTGATTGTACTACTTATAAGAACTGTCACATAATTTGTCACACATTCTATACATGATAAAGCTGGTTTCACGCATACATATGCAGATGCAGACATGCTTGACTAGTGCCCTCGAGATGATGATATCCGATGTCTGGAGACTGTTGGTTGCATGGGTGAAAATCAATCTCAGTGGCACAGGTGCATTCACCCAACTTATGCTACCCCAGATTCATTAGATTCTCATTACTATCTATGTAATTATGCTTTCTCCTCTGTATTTCAGTTTATTATGAGATGTGTTAACTAGAATAGCCGCAAGTTTGTGTATACTGTTATGACGTTTCTATTCAATGTTCACTAATTTCAATAGTCAATACTGGTCAGTAACAAATAGAAGAAAGCGACTCAGCAGTACACTTGTAAAAGACATATTCAGTGAGGATAATTTTCTTTGTCGACGAAATCATCTTCAGAGGCTGTACAGTCGTATTTATACTTACCAAAAATGTATGGTGGTTTATTATTGAGTAATAGGGTGTGACATAAATAA